GGTATATTAGTGGCTCCTGATCTGGGCAAGAGCATTTTGTCATGGCCCTTAGGAAAAAGAGTACAGCAGGAGCTGGCCCCTGGCCGCTCCAGTCCTCATGTTGTGAGGCAGCTTTCAATTATGAGGCATATCTTTAATGTTGTTGCTATGCTGCCTTTTCTGTAATAAACTGTAGATTTATAAGCATTCTTTTTGGGGTCCTGTGAGTCTTCTTTAGCAATTGAACCCTGTTTAATGGCCACTGTTAGTATAGTCTCACAGTCCTGAGAGATAGGGTTGACAAAGGGCCCCAGAGAAGTTAGGGGACTAGCCCAAAGTCCCAAGTCAAGTAGAAGCAAGGCTCAAACTTGAAGTTGCTCTTTTCACACTTTCCTCTGATTTCTTTCACTACCTTTTTGATTAGTTACTAGAGAATGAAGAGGTATTTATTGTCAGTCTCAGGTGAATACTGACCTGTGTACAGAAAACAGCTGTAAGTGAGAGCAGCTGCATCCCAGAGGGAGCGATGACATCAGCCCACATTCCCTAAACTACATCATTACCTTTAGTGTCCAAGGCCCAGTGTTGGCAGCTTCTTCCTCTATAACTGAAGCTGCAGAGGCCTTAATTATTCTAACACGCACTCCAGGAAAAGGCTTCGTTGGTCCATTTCTGGCAAAACAGTGATTTTCCTCATTTTAACAAGCGAGGCCATCATCAATCCAGATCTTAACCACAAGTGAGATATTTCAGTGGGCTCAGCGACTGACAATAAATCTTTGGCGTGCTTTTTCTTCTTCAAAGTGTATGCTTCAAGCAATTTTAATTTGATTCTTAATTAAGATGCATGTGTAAGTCAAATTTCATTAAGGCCTCTTTCTTGTTCTACAGCATTCAGACCACCAAAGACAGTTTGGATGACCAGCCTTGGAAGGCAAGCGCATGGTATCTTAGAGAGAGCCAGTCCCTGACTCTTAACATTCACCCTACCACTGATTAGTTGGATGCCTTTGGACACACCCTTTAAACTTATTTGCATAATGAATAGGTTAAACATTTTGTGACTTTTTTGTCTTATTAATGCTCTATTTTTAAGGTGAGGAACCTAGCCACTGATTATTATTATTATTATTATTGCTATTACAACTGCTGCTACTATTTTTTTTTTAAGTAGCAAGGAAGTTGGAGAACCTGGGTATTGAATTAAGAGTCAAGAGAGCCCAGCTTAGCTACCTTTCCCCAGAGTGTCTACTATAATTTTAGAATTCAGTTGCATGACCCTGACACACATGAACATCTTCAGCAAGAATGCCAGCATATCCAAGGTCACAGTCCAGCTTTATCAATTCGTGGAAGAGACAGTTTCCAACACAAATTGTTTGAGGGGCACTGGATAGAGATATCCTTCTCTCTCCAAAACATCTTCTGCACTGCCTGAGAAATATGACCATTCAAGGAAGACTATGAAAAGTTCTGTCAATGTAAGGAGAAAGCATGGAGCCATGCAGAGTCCTGTTCTTGAAGTTAGATGCTTGGGCTGGAAGGCTGGTTCTTTTGTGAAATTAGTCTCTCAAATACAGGGCTTACTGAAATTATAATTAATGTAAGAAGCTCAATGGATACACTCCCAGCAAAGCAAACTAGGAGCTGTCAGCTAGGAATATTAGGGGGGCACAGTTTCCTCAGCTTCCCCAGTTCCCCAAAGGAGACACGCTGAGGTGGTGGCTACAGCAATCTGCCTGTTTAGAGTGAGGCAGTGGAAAGCCCTGAGTAGAACTTCCCAAGCCTCTCGAACCCGAGCCCACATTGAGCTAATATTTCAGCACGATTCTTTATGTTTTTCCAAAAGCAGCCTTTTATAGATCTCATCACCCAAATCTAATATCTGGGTTGAGGGGCCACTTTCTTACTAGCCCCCAGAGCCATCTTGCTCCACTTACTGAGTATGTAATCTCAGGAGTGTGAAATGGCTATGGCAATACTTACGTTGTGCTGAGAGTGGATGAGATTAGGCAGTAAAGTAGCTAGCACAACGCCTGGTGAGTAGGTGCTTAGTAAACACAAGTGGTTACTGGTGTTAGTTTATTCATTTGGGCTGGGCACCACCTTACTCCAAGGAATTCTTGAGAAAAACCTAGTGAGCTATATCTTTGCTTAGATATGAGCAGAGGCTTCCTTCCTTCTTGGCTACAGGGGGCACAAGTCCTGGGGGTGGGTGGGAGGGGGCGGAGAAATTGACAAATTGCCAATCTTTCATTTTGCTTATGACTATCCTTGTCCT